AGAAGCAATTTAAATATGTTCAGGGACCATTTTCATCTCCAGAATTAAGGATTATTTTGATGTTACATCATTGCCTTTTCTCTTTTACTTTCCTTTTTAGTTTTATTTTAGGATTCCCTATTTTTAATGTTCATACAGAGATTTCTTTAACTGAAATACCGAATAGTTTCTTTGGTGTGAAAAACTATAATAGTACACAGGATCCTAATGAGATAATTAATAATGTGAAATAGGAAGTAAAGGGCTAAAGGTGTAAGGAAAGTGGGAAGGGTGGGGGAAAGGTAATAAGGGAGAGGAAAAAAATATGAGAAACTGAAAAAATGGAAATAAAGTGTTTGTAAATGGAGAGGGGAGGAGGGGGTGAAGGGAGGGCAGGGACAAGGGGAAAAATGAGAATCAAGACCTATTATGTAAACGTACAGAATCCCAATGATGAATGTAACTGTATTTGTATACCTAGATTGTACCAATAACCTCAATTAAAAAAAAAAAAAAGATACAATGTCAGAAAGATAGTTACCAGAGCTCTAAATCAGAGGCCCTGTCAAATTTCAGGGTTTACTTTTCTGCTGTACTAATAGTAGTAGATAACAACTAATGTTGGACGAAGTGGACAGAAAATGTCCTTGAATAAAAGTAATTTCAATAACCACATGGGACCATCCAATCTTTCCTCATCATTGGAGATCTAGGCTATCTTAAGTGGTTAATGCCAAAAGATGTGCTTTTTCATGGCGTGGTTTACAAGACTTGTTTCTGAAGGTTTAGGCAAAAGCTTCCGCTCCAGCAATCCTGAAAGACCAGGTTTAGCCACCTGTGCCATAAGCTCATTAAGGAGATTAGCAGTGGTAAAGGACAGGAAAGAAATTGAATCAGTCTCTGAGGGGCTGACAGAAGCTCTGGAGATGGCAGAGATAAGGGTTGGAGTTTGGGATGGAGCTGAGGAAGGTATCAGGCGTAGAAGTTTGCAAAAGTGCAAATGAATGAACTGAGCCCACCTCCTCAAACCAGCCCAAGGGCACAGGCTGAGGAACTACTAGATTTTTTTTTTGTTGTTTTTTGAAACAGGGTCTTCCTATGTATCCTAGGCAACCCTCCTTCCTTGAACTCAGGCAATCCTCCTACCTCCAGCTCCCAAGTGCTGGGATTAAGGAGCCACCACCCGCGGCTAAGGAACTAGATTTCTAACCTGAGTGAAAGAGTGGGGCTTGAACTTTACTGACTCCAAGTGAAAAAGAAAAGAAGTAGGAGATTTTTCACATGAATCATAGGATCTGATTTCCCCCAGATAATGGCACAGGACATAACCCAAGGCAAGAAAGTAATGAATCATCAGAAGGGAGGGGGTTGGTTCCCTGTCTGAGAAGTGTGAATGCAGAGGTGGAACAGAGCAGATAGAGAAAGGAGAAAATCTAAAACATTCGGATGCCTTGCCCAATGAAAGATCTGTCTTTAATCCAGGGGATTTTAGAAGAAGAACCAGTGCCTCTCCAAACCAAAAACCAGTGACTGAAACAACCAGCAACTAACCAGGACATCCAACTGGGGCCTGCCATTCCTAGTCAGTAAAAGTCTCACACAGAGTCCCTGGTGTCCCAGGGGAATTTGACATGGAGGGATCAGAGGAAGGGAAAAAGGATTAGAAGACTAACTGTGGGGGCTGATTTTCCTGCTGGGGGTTCATCTGTCCACAGGGGCCACTGTCAGTGAATTACCATGTCAAGTCAAATTCTGAAAGAGCCCCATGTTCAAGGAACTAAATCTGTCCCCAGATAATAAAGTTTTTCTCTTTAGCTGAAATGGAAATTAAAACTAAAGCATAAATTTATAGGAAAAAAGCTTTAATTGGAAAGTTAGGCGGAAGATAGGAAAGGACTTCCGTTTAGGTAGCTGAAAAGGGAACACTCTGATACAGGGGCCCAAACTGGCCTTCCACAGTGGCTCGGAGCCCAGATTTTAAGGATTAGCTAGTGGGCTGGGGTACAGTTGATCATTATCACAGTCACCTCAGTCATTATTAAGAGGGGAGTGAGGACTGAAAAGTGACAACTTCCTGCTTTCTCTACTGCTCTCCACCAAGCCTTCCTCATCACGTCTGAGGAGGTGCGTGCACCCGATGTCAGCAACGACCCAGGGAGAAGTGTCTCTGGGATCTAGGTCTGGTTCCACCTCCCTCTGCTGATTCCCCAAATTCAAGTTTCTTTGCCTGGACAATAACTAGGTCATCATACTCCTTCCTGATCCTGGTAGAGGAGTAAGCATTCCTCAGAAAGGGTAGCTTTTCCTTTACAGCATAGTAGCTACATTATCATAGTATACACTTTTTTTTTTAAACAAAAGTGCTTTTCTTCTTTTACTGTTAGTTTAGACTTTGTTGACATGACAAGTACTTTGTGGTTAGACTGTTGTAATATTACACTATGCACTAAAACTTTTTTGGTGTGTTTTCATTATCTTGATGGTACTATGAAGGTTTGTATTATGCACAATTCAGTTGTATTATGACGTTTATAATACAACTTTGTGTAATCTTAACTATCAACTACTTTAAAGAGCATGAGTAATAACTAAGATGAGGTACTTCTTTCCTTTATCTTTTTTAACCCAGTCTCTTTTCCATTCAGTATTGACTGGTTATATCTTTTTTGGTGTTTAGCTCTAGTATATATTTATTTGCGTTTTCAAATATTACTATGAACACTATAAAGTTGTAAAATACATTTTTCCTACCTCAACCAAAGAGGCAATTGTTCAGTCCCAGGTACATACGATGAAATGGGACGCTGTCTTATAATTCAGGGCTGATAAAAGCCAGTACTCCCAGAACTAGGAATCCCATATAAAAATGTATTTTGTAAACATCAAGAGGGGAATCTGGTCTTAAGCAGGACACATTGATCCTAAATATTATTCCCAGGCAAGGAGCTATTGAGGTGGGACTGGATCACAGTGTACTCTGCAATTAAAAGAAGCAGTTAGAGAATTAAAGTCTGTTCTAAACATAAGCAACAAAATGGACATAGGGAGGTTCTTTCACTTACAGGGAGTCCTGACGTGCTCACTATTAATAAAGGTAACATTCTCTTGGCCTTTGAAAGAATTCCAAAAGTTTTTTTGGAGAGAATTCCAAGTATTTTGCTCAAAAACTTGTGAAGGAAACAATATAGAAATGGAAAGTTATAGGAAAATTTTCCTTTAATGGAAACCATGTAGCATTTTTGACGACTAAGGTTGAACGCCACACTGGACTTTATCATTTCTTTCAGGTAAGTGGATTTTCATTCTGGAAAGACAGAAAAAGGGGATTGGGTGAGATTCACTGCAGAGTCACTTTTTCCTTCCAGATTTCACTGATAGGGCAGCTCTCGGAGGCCATTGTAATGGCAAAGAAATAGGCTATTGAGGAGAGAGGTGGAGAAGGCTGGAGAAAAGAATCTCAGTCTGCGCTCTCATCAGCGCTTCCTTTAACAGTTGCCCTGTGCTCCGTCTGGCCCCAATCTGGCTCTGGGCTGATTCCTTCAGACCATTTCTCAATGGAGTCTGACAGAGTAGGCAGGAGCTCAGCAACCCGGAGTCCCACCCAGGATGCCTATAATTCCTTCTGCTGCTAGAATCGCAGGGGCATGTGAAACCAGGTAAGTGCTGGGTGCTGTGGTGACCTACATCTTGGAGCTATGACTTTGTCTGTGCCACTAGCTTTTTGTCTGAGCACAGGTGTGACCCCATAAACAGGCCATCAGAGCCTTAATATTCTTGAGAGTCCAGTTCTTCAAAAGGAATGCATGCCAGACAGCCTGCCTGATCACTGGGGACTTCCATCTGCTCTTTGATGTATACATTTATTCTTTCAACAAACTTTTATGTGGCAGCTAGTGTGTGCCAGGCACTATGCAAATAGTCACAGCATGTCAATGAGCTCAGCTGATACCGTCTTCGACCTCCACGAGGCTTAGTTTACTGAATAGAGCTTAATAAGATAACTTAATAAATATGCAAGTACAATCTATTATGAAGAAAAATCTCAGGGATCCACAGAATACTGTAACAGGTGGGCACTAACTACTCTGGGAAAGTATTTTTAAAGAAAGTGATGCTTTAGACAAGATAGGAAGAATGAAATGAAAAAGTGGCAGAAAAACCTTCCAGGCAGAGTGGATGTGAATGCACGGAGGCCGAAGTGAACATGTTTTCCCTTCCCACTTCTTTGTTTATGTATTCCCTATCCATAGGACGCCCACTAGCTCAGGCACTGTGCTGGGTCCTGGAGTCGCCACGGTGCACACGATGCAGCCCATGCCCCCACTTCAGGTCCCGTGTATGGATTTTTGCTTGACCATGACTTTAGCTCATCAACACTTTGCAGCCATCTATTGACAGATTACTTCCTTCCAGGTCCTAAGTGAGGGAACACTTCTTTTCTGCTCCCTCCCCACTTACTTGTGGCTGCTGTGGTCTCAGCATGGCTCAGACTCAAGCCAAGGAAGTTTAGACACAAGGGGGAATCAACAATGTTGCAGGGTCAGGCCTCACCTTTCTTCAGTCTCTTCATTCTTTTCCTTCTGTATTCTGGTGGCTTCTGCAAGAGACCAGAACAGCTTCAAAAACTGTATTCCTCTTAGATATGAGAAAGGGAGGGGGATGTAGTTTCAAGAGGCTTCTGATTCCTGGGACTCAGAAACCGCTATGACCTTACATAGGGAAGAGATGGTTACTTAACCAATGCAATTTCACGGGGCCTGGGCAGGAGCTTTTTTGCATCCAAAAAGTAAAAGCCCTCACTTGTTCACTGTGTCTTAAGATCTAATGTTGGACATAGATTTTTTTTTTTCATTCACAGTTCTTCTATCTTTGCAAATGAGAATTCCAGTAGATAGGTAATATACTTAGTGTTAGCACTCATTTAGCGACTAGGAAAGGGTTTCCAATCCTTTTCCTAAAGCAAAGTTTAGAAGGGGAGGAAAGGGAATCTTGAAGACAGAAATGCTTAAAGGGATTAGCTAGATGGTGCTACCAGATACTACATATTGTTACATGGACAGGTCCAAGCCGGATATCTCTATCCAGCCAGACCTTCCAAAGCCCTAGCTTCTGTTTGTATGGATTTAACTTCTGATGATTTGGCTGTTGGGTCAGTGCTGTTGTCCCACCTCATAGGAGGCATTGTTAACCTGGGAATCCTTGCAGGAATTTAGTGACACAGGAATCCTCTCAACACCACCGTTAATATTTTCATGATTCAGTCTTTACTAAGCAGTGTCTTCCTGAAAACTTCCTGTCATTAGCTTTTCCCTTTTATGTATGTGCATTTTTGAGAATAATTGTCTTTATGCAGGTATAATATTAAACAATAAAATTCAGTCATTTATACTATAAAATTTGATGAGCTTAACAAATGTATAAAGCTAAGGAACTGTCACCACAATCAAGAGACCATTTAAATAAGCCCCTAAATTTTCCTGCCTCATTTTAATCAATGTTCTCTCCATCATATTCCCTGTAACCTTTGATCTGCTTAATGTCACAATAATTTTGATTTTTCTTGAATTATATGTAGATAAGATCATATAATGTGTAGTTTTCTTGCACCTGGCTTCTTCACTTAACATAATGCTATTGAAATTATCTATGTTGAGTATAACCAAGAGCCCATTCCTGCCTACCATTTAGCAGTATTTTATTTTATGAATATATCCTTTTGTTAAATGATGGATTGTCTTCTTATTAATTAGTAGTAATAATAATGATATATGCTGGATACACATCTTTTGTCAGATCTATATTTTATGAACATTTACATTTGTTTCGCAGTCTGTCTGTGCTTTACTGACTGTTTTCTTAAAATCAAAGGGCCAACGTTTTTCATTTAGATGACACTCAATTTATCAATTTTGTTTTTTTATAATATGGCTAGTTTTTGCTGAGTCCTATCTAAGATTCATCTACCTAGGGCCATAGAGATTTTCTTCTATGATTTCTTTCAGAAGTCTTTGAATTTTAAGTCAATTGATGTTTATGATCCACTATGTTATTTTTTATAGAATCACAAGAGTATATTTAATTCTCCAAAAAACATCAGTTGAAAAAACCATCCTTCCTTTCTACATGGAATTACCTTGGTAAACTTGTAAAAAAAATTAGTACTATGTGAGTTTATGTTTTGATTCTGTTTTACTGCATTGACTGATATGTAGATATATACTTTCATCAGTATTACTCTGTCTTGATTTCTGTAACTAGTAAATCTTGAAATTAGATAATATAAAATTTTCATTTTGCTCTTATTTTTCAGTATTGTTTTGGCAATTACAGGTGCTTTGCATTTCCATATACATTTTAGTCAGGTTTTAAATTTCTATTTAAAAGCTTTCTAGGATTTTGATTGGGCTCTAAAATGTCCTCCAAAATTCTCATTTGTGTGGAAGGTGAGTGGATCATGAAGGCACTATACTGAACATGCTGTTAGAAGGTGGGGCTTGCTCAGAAGACGTGGGTCACCAGGGCTGAGACCTGGAAGAGTGCATCTCCCTCCCTAGTGCTTCCCTTTGCTCTCCGCTTCCTGCCCACCATGATGTGAGCAGCTTTCCTCCGCCATGACCCTCTGCTGTGCCGTTCCTGTCTTGATCCAACCAACTATGAAATGAAACCTCTAAAATTTCTTTTAAGTTGTGGGTATTGGGTATTTTGTTCCAGTGATGAGAAAGCAAGCAAGACAGGATTATTTTGGTCAATTTTGGAAAACAATCAATATCTTAATAATATTTTGCCTTCTAATTCATGAACACTGCATATATATGTGTATAAGCTCATACATGTTTGTATATGAGCTCTCTCTGGGTAATATCCTATTTAGATTTTCTTTAACTTCTGCCACTAATAATGTTTTGTAGTTTTTAGTACATAGATCTGTACTTCCTGTTAAATTTATTCTCAAACTCTTTTTGTATATTCTCAAACTTTTAATATTATTTGATGGTACTGTAAATGGCATACAAACATTTTTTTCACTTTCAGTTGTTGTTACTCTACAAAAACACAGCTGTTCTTAATTTTGGCTATTAACCTGTATCCTTCAACTTTGATATCTTGCTTACTAGTTCTAATAGCTTTTTAATAGATTGAATAGGCTTTTTTGCAAATGTGATTGTTATCTGCCAAACAAGACAGGGTTTCTTCTTCCTTCCCAGTTTGTATATCTTCCATTTCTTTTTAATGTCTTCTTTCACTAGCTAGGACCTCCAGTACGATGTTGAACAAAAGTACTGAGTGTCAATATCTTTGCATTTTCTCCAATCTTAGGTGGGAAGCAATCGATCTTTTATCATCAAATATAATGCTAATGAAGAATCTTGGTAGATGTCCTTTGTTAGATTGAGGAATTCCCCTTGCATCCCTACTTTTATGAGAGTTTTTCTTTCCTTTTTAAAAGAATGAATGGGTAGTAAATTTTCAGTACACATTGACACGGTCATGGTTTTTCTTTCAGTTTCTTAATACAGTGAATTTTATTGCTTAATTTTTAAATGTTTGGCTTTCCCGTGTTCCTAAAATAGACAGTATTTAATCATGATATAGGATGTTTATAATACATGGCTAGATTTTAGTTTCTATCTTGTTAAAAATTTTGGAATCCATGTTCATAAAGAATGTTTGTAGTCTTCTTTTCTAGTTTTGGTATATGATCTCCCCCTTTCTTAGGAGAAGCCTGGGCACTGACTCTGGGCAGTAAGTAGGCAATCATAGGACTCACCTCATCTTTCCTTTTCTCTTAAGACTACATTTTTCTGCTACCCATTATCCAATGTCTGATAACAGTTGTTTCAAGTGTTTTCCTAATTTATGGGTGAAGGACACTTTTGTAGCAGTTAATCCTTCCAGGAAAGAAGCAGAAGTCTATTTTCCCACACAATTTAAAGACCTTTAATTGCTAGAAGAATGTCTCTTATTTCCTTATATTTTCATATAACCTTCATTCAGACACACCCTGAAGAGCCACATATTTAAGTGTGAAATTTTTTTTGGGGTGGCGCTTGGAATTGAATTCTCATGCATGCTAGGTAAGTGCTTTACCATTCAGCTAAACCACAGCCCTAAATTTGAACTTTGCATTTCTTGGCAGCTGTTCAGATATATGAAGGCAGAATTTCTGTCCTTTTCAGACTTTTTCTTAGGTTAAGTACCCATAGTTATTTGATGCTGTGGACAGGATATATTTTGTCCCTGAAAGGTTTAGGTGCTGGAAACTTGGTCTTAGTGTGGCGATGCTGAAAGGTGGAATAACTTTTAGCAGAAGGTAATCAGCTCACAAGGGCACTACCCTGGGAAGGGCTCTGATGCAGCTTAGATCTCACAGAATTGTATTTGTTGCCAAGAGAAAGGCTTGATATAAAGCCACACAAGAGCAGGTTTTGATAAAGCCCTATACAGCCACGTGATGTAGCATGAGGCACTCACCAGGTACAGCTGCCGTAGTTTGGACTTTTCAGCCTCCAAAACCATGAATCTAAATAAACTCATAAAGTACACAGTCTCAAGTACTTTGTTCCAGCAGCACAAAAGGAGCTCAAAACACTTAATCTATTTCTTATTAAGGAAGCATCTTCCAGACACCTTACAAATATGGTTAGATTCTACTGCCAAAGTTCCTCTAAAAAATAATGGTACTTACAGCTGAATACAATATTTTAGATGTCTTTAGACCAACACAAAATAATTACATTATCTTTTTGAACCCACAGCAAAATATGTGCCAGTTCCACGAAAAATAAAGTTCCTTATTTAAAAATGAAAGCAGACAGTAAAAAGGCAAATTCTATACTTTGGGATTTCAATACTTCAAATCTAGCATTTTGAAGGGCATATGTGATGAGATCACCAACTTTTAGTTTTAAAACTCTGTGCAATTTCTGTTTCAATGTTTGTTAAAATTATTTCTTTTGGAAAAGACACTTGGACTTTCAGAAATCATTACTGAGGAAACAGACTCTTCTGAGATTGTTCTCGGCAAGCAAGCTGTAGAAACTGGTTGCTTGGGCACTGATATATACAGATTTTTGTCACACAGGTCACAAATAGGTAAAGTGATAATTTTTTTATTGGACAAAAACAATAACCAATATTTATAATTTTTCTCTTTCTCTCTTTGGGTACTGGGGATCGAACTCAGGTCCCTGTGCTTGCAAGGCAGGTGGTGGAATCACTGAGCTAAATCCCCAGCCCTACAATTTCTCATTTTTTATCTGCCCTATTTGACAAAGGGAGGGAGGAAGGGAGGGAGGGAGGGAGAGAGAGATTAGAAATGAGGTAGAATAACTATGACATTTCTTTTCTATTCACCTAAATGGTCTGAACAAGGTAATTATGTATAGAGAAGAACCATAATTAATGAACAAACTGTGGACAGCAGTTTTAATGGCAGGTTAATTTGAGGGCTGTCTCTTCTGAGAAAAGGATTAATGTCAGATCAGGAGGAAGTTCAACTTTTGGAGAAATTCCTACTGGTTATCAATAAGTTTGTATCTCTATAGATGGATCATGACCACTTCCACATCTATCTATTGGCAAAATTCTGTTCCTTGTGTTTGTGGAACTGAGATTCCCATTTCCTTGCTGGCTGACGGTCTATCAAGGGCCAATTTCCTGCCTTTAGAAGTGATCCATATTCCTTGACTATGGCTTTCATCCCCCAAGTTCAAAGCCAACAATTTCCCCCTGTCTTCCACCTCTCTAACCTGCTTGGGTAAAGCTCTATATTTAATTATGATAGATTGGGTCTATCTGGATAATGTAGGCTAATTTCACCATCTCAAGGTTGGGGCCTTCATTGCCTATACAAAGTTCTTTTTGCCATATCAGATAATGTATTATAGATCCTAGGGTAAAGGAAATGGAAATTTTGGGGGTCGATATCCTACTTGTCACATAGTCAATGCCAGAATCATCCACAAAGCAAGGGGAGACAATACTGAAGTTATACAACTAAGATTTATAAAAATCTTTATCTATCTGGTCTGGTTATACATGGTACATGTCCCTCCCTCCAGGGATATTAAGGGTTCTTTCTTTGATCAAATACATTGGCGCACTTGACTGTCTGATATATAGCTCTTTCTTCCCAGTATTCTTTATCACATAATGGGGAGGGCTCATATTTTCAGCTATTTTCTGCCTTTTATCACTCACGGCCCAACGGACCATCTTATATGTGTGAACATAGCCTCTGTAACCTTCCTCCAACTTCCATCTTGCATACACACCCATTAACACCCTTATGTAGTCTCCTAAATTTTCCTATTGCCTCATGGAAAAAGAAACGCTCTTACATTCTTACTCCCTCTTGCTGCATCCTTTCTTGTTTGTTTGCATTGTAAGCTGATCATTCCAGTGTGAAAGCAAATTTAGGAAATAGCTTATTCCTAAATCAAAAGTTGCTACTGCATATTCATTAATTTTAGTGGGCAATTGCAAACTCTCATCTTGAAAAGTCATTTTTGATGAGTTAAAAATGTTTCAGTTCACATCAGGGCATGCAAAAGATACATCTATATACCTTACTCTCTGCTCTGAATATTACCCTTTTTTTTCACAGACCTCTCAGTGCACTCCATATTTTGGCAGTTTGAATGTCTCTGTCATAGGCTTTTTACTAATTTATTAAAATTTGATAATTATTTACATAATTTCCTCTTTTAAAGTACTGCAGGATGAAATGAATGAATGTAATGTCATCTATCTACTTTCTAAATAGAAAATCAGTACACTGAAATCTTAAATAAGATACTGGCCAGAAGCATCGTTCACCTTGGGTTTTCCATGATAAATAAGGTTACTGTAACTATTCGCATCAACCAACTACTGGAGGCTGTTACTGAGATAAAGTAAAGTATTATCTTGAAACCTTACCCAAACCAACCCAAGCCACAAATAGGCATGGGAGAGTGTTATGCGGTCAGGGACCAGTTTGGCTTCATTAAAACACCTTCACAGTAGAAGTCAGTAGGTAGGTTGTTAGATACAGTGCTGTTTATAGCAACAAAATGTTGGGAAAAACCCATGTTCAAAAAACAAGGTTGCTTAAGTAAGTTAATTAAAGTGCGTCTGTGTAATGGAATATCTTGCAGCTCTTTAAAATGATGTTGTAGAAAGAGATTTATGCCACTGAAAATTGGCTTGCTATTTTTTTATGACAAAGTTATAAAACAGGTCATAGGATTATTATATAGCTTATGAAAAATGGACCTTATAATGTCATCTCAATTATGGATAGTGACATATGTTTATAGGCAGAAAAATCTGGACACCAAAAATATTGTTTGCAAAATCATGTTTTTCTTACCAGTGAAATTATGATTGACTTTAATTTTTGGTATACTTGATAGTGTATATGTACTGTTGGTAATCAGTAAAAGTTAATATTATTGCTTCTTAATCAATGGGGAACAACTTATCTAACTCATTTCACCAGAAATCTAGAACTTTAGAGATGGTAAGTCTTTGATCATCAGCCAATATTGTGACTGGAACACCACCAAGTCTGTAATCTCCAACATTTAGAAATGTTTCCATCATTACTTTCTTGAATTGTCCCAAAAACTTCATGATAGAGGGTGAGTAAAGCAAGTAGTAATCAGCTTTGGCTAGAAACCAGAAGTACATTTGTAGAACTTAGATTGGAAATGAAACCTTTCTCAGGAGTTCAGGGCAACATTATTAGCTGCCAAATCCAGTGTGACTTCCAAACCCCGAGGAAAAACCATTTCCTCCAACCACATGTCAGCTTTAGTCTAGGCTCAGCCAATGAGATCCAGACAGTAGCTGATTCAGAGGAAGTGACTTAAAAGTAGCACTCTGCAGAGCAGATAATGACTCACTCACCACTTTTGTTAGAGACCACAGCCTGTTGCTTCTTCGTCTTCTTCCACAGAAAGCATCCCATCCCACATGTGAAGATCGTGAAGAGCAGAACTACAGCTATAATCCAGGAGTACTGATGTGTAGCAAGCAGATGGTGACTAGGAACTGGAAATGACAAGTTTTCAATCAGCCATAAATTCACTTACAAAACTTTCACATATTCTGCTGTTCTCTTTATTTATTTGCCAGCAACTCCCCCTTTGCTTTTGCTCCAGAGGAGCCCGAAATCCACACAGGAGACTAAAGAAAGTCCCAGTCACAGGGCCTTAGCCAGATAACTAGGAATTAAGCCAGTACCTCTGGCCAAATGCTTGGAATGGGCTGTCTTCCCTTCTCCAAGGTGGGTGTGGTACTGATCTTGATCTGGAAGGAGACAGTGAACTTGGCTATGATGCTGGAATCTGGGTATTTTGTTGAGGGTCTGAATGTACAATCATTAGGACAGCGCCCTGCTACCCCAGCCCTTGTGCAGTCAGTCCCCAAACCCTGATGTTTTCCTTGTCAACACCTATAGAACATCTATGAAACATCAACATCTATAAACAAGGCTGTTTCGCTAGGACAGATGGTATGTTCTTCTCACAGCCTCCCATATCCAGTTTGGCTTTCTTTGGTCTTATTTTCTACTGAGGCCATAGCAGGCTTCCTCAGCATGGCTTTCTGTATGTCTCCCTACTAGAAATCTTTGATATTTCCCTATACCCTGAAGAATTAGGGTCAGAATTATTTACCTAGAGGTCAGGAGCTAATCCTTACATGGAAAGTCCCAAATTCCTGGGAAGTTGAAAATAAGTTTTGTGATGGAAAATTGACTTGCTCGCATTATAGACACTTTTGGAAGTAGTTCTGGTACTCTATCCCAAATTTTAGAAAAAACAGGATCAGTTGATGTCCCTGTAGTTTAGCTACCATATGTAGAGATAGAGATGTAGAGATATTCCCTGTTTCTAGAACAGCAAAGAAGGGAGTTTTTGGTGCTGGGGGCATACTCACTACCTTTTAAATGGGACCTAGTTTATTCTACTTGTGAATATTTGGCATTCCCAGTAAAAGAAGGTTATAGCTGTAATGTGGCAACTGCTATTTTTTGACACTTCCAAAGATCTCCTCTGGCTCAGGGTCTAACCTCTCTCTGATCAAGCCACAGACTAGGAACACAGAGAGGCAAGCCCTGTCTTCCTGAAGCAGCTACAGCTGAAACATTTCTGAAGCTGACGCTACCTGAGGAGGTTTTGGTAGCAGTCAAGAAGCAAGAGAACAGTGAACCACAAGAAAGCTACAGGTGGCTGCGACCACAGGAGCCCTGCAGAGTGCCCAGGGTGTGTCAGGGGTGGGGATGCTCACGGCTAAATGAAGGTGCTGAACTTCGGGCATAGCTTGGAGAGGCTAAGAGAGACTGCAGAAGAAATAACCAGGACAGGATAGGTAGTCCCGCTCTTTCCTGGACTCTCAACAACTGAGCTGACTGATAGAAGGAAGTCAGTACCAGGAGCGGGTGTAGGCACAGTTACTTATGTGAGATAAGCCATAGGGTCTTTTTTACTGAGAGTGCTTCTGTAGGCCAAGTTATGTCCAAAACGGATGCCAGGGGAAAGGAGACAGCAAAGACAGGGAGTGGAGCAAGAGGCTAGATGATGCCACTGGAGGGGACAAACCAAGGGCTGGAGAAGGGGCCAAGGTGAGCAGAAGGCAGCTGCAGGGCGGGGTGACAGAGATGTAGTCACAGAGTGTGTAAGGGGGAAGCTTGTAGTTACTGCTCTTAAGTGTGGAGTCACAAGTATAGATGAGACAAAGCTGAGATTGAAGGGGTCCTTTTGCCTGCTGACCCCTGAAGCTGTCTCAGACTTGTCCAGTGCAGGAGATCCCTGCAAACATGAGAGTCTGTCATCTGGAATCCTCTCCCTTCTTAGTAAGCCCAATCATCTCTTTTATGGTATTAGGCTCCATGGTCTTTGGGAAGCCTTCCCTGACCCTCAGAGATCTTGCCTGCCTCTGAATGCCCACAGAAATGATAAATTTATTTTAGATTTAGATTATATTCCAACAGAATATAATTTACATTCTAATTCAACCTTTTAAAAAAATTCAGTATTCCATTTGTGCATATCATGAAGTTCTAATTCTACTGGAAGATCTTGAAGAACAGAGGGAATCTCTTATACCTTTTAGTTTCTACCCCTGTAACCAGCAATATCTAGAATGCTTCCATACTCCTTAATACTTGAATGCACACATATATGTATTCTCTCTCTCTCACTCCCTCTCCCCACTTCTCAGAATTCTAGACATGCAGAATCCTGTATTTTCTGACCCAAACTCCAGAATCTTCTATCCACAGGGGGGCCCCAAAGGCGGAGTCAGTTTCAGGGCTAAGAGCATGAGTGGCACACAGGCTCATAGACTCCTAGACTCTGCATCACCCAGATGCAGCAGGACCCTCCATTTGCATCATAAACTGGCCTGGTAGAAGATTACCTAGCAAGCAGGGAACATTGAACAATTTGCCTTATATAGTACCTGACAAAAGAAACAGTGTTAGGAAGCAGCCTTACCTTTATAGAAAGGTTTGGAGGAAAGCTTCATTGACTGAGTTTTCAGGACACAGAAGATGGTCACATTACTTATGGCATCAGGAAATGGAACATATGAGCTGATGGAAATGTTGTACAGCCCTGTGTCATTATCTTGTGATATTTGCATGATACCATCATACTCCAGTTCAGTTGAATTTTCAAGTTTTAGCAAGAAATACATCTTCGTAGCTTTTGGATAACCTTGTCCAGATGAGCAAGTTAAATTTATGCCAGAATTTCCTGTTACGTTAGACATTTGCACTATTTCAGGTTCAGTGAAGTTAGCTGGACACAGAATAGAGATACAAAAATCAGACTATATTAGATGTATTTACAAGAGAACACCAAATAAGTAAGTACTCCATTTGGGAGTTCACTGGTCCACTTGGGAACCCCAGGTTGTCTAAGACCTGATGTGGGTCGCATAATAACCTTACATTTAGTTTTCAAGGCCTCCTGTGCTTACTGGGTGACAGACAGGAGGGCTGAAATTAGCTCACCAATGATTTAAAATCAAGCCACTCTTCCAGGGAATGGAATCTTTGGAAGGAGACTTGGTCTGACTATATGACCCAAGTTCCCCCAGGGATTTATTTCAGGCTGTTGGACCAAGAGGGAAAAAAAATTGAACTAAAGTCCTGCCAGGACTCAAGAGTTCATTGCACTGGTTCAGAAATCTAAGCAGGACGGTGGTGAGTTGGGAAGGGCTGGATTTAGAAATGCAGAATATTGGTTTCTGGCACAAACATCAAGGCGTCTACATCATATATTAGAAGAAGAAGGCCAAAATCCAGCTATTGTTAGGGAAAATACATGATCACAATTAGTGCAGCTTTCTCTTGCCTTTGTTTGCCAATAATGTTTTTACAGCTGTTGAAAATCACTGGCACATAGGCCCCTGACCTGACACATGAGCCGTCAACCAGCCAAACCCCTTGCTCTTCCGTAACTATGAGGTAGTTGTCAGGTTCTACATAGTAATTTGTAACTTAGTATATTGTTTCTAAACTGCAGTCATTCATATGCCATTTTTTCCCACTTTTGCTGTACGGACGTGCTATTTGAGCACTCTGCTTATACTTTACATTATCTGTAGAAGGCAAATTCCCAGAGCTTAGTTAGTCTTACTAGCAATATCTTTGAAATCACAGGTTGAATAAGTTATAGTTCTTCTAATTCTTGTTAGTATATACACGTATAAATTGCTTTTAAAAATGCTTTGTTTGGTGTCCCACCTAAAATACACCATGTTTCTCCAACAGTGCTGTGGCCACACTTTGAAAACGTTGATTTAGCATTTGTTTCAACATTCCAACAGCCTACAGCCTAGTTTGAATCACGGGTCTTGAGCAACTCTCCAGTCTACATCCATTTCTGCCTCTGCTTTATTTTGTGCTTTCAGAATAGGTGTTGATTTTCCCTTTTCAGTTTCATTAAGAACTAATCAGCATCTAGTAATATGCCCAGATATCTATACTAGAGAAATACCAAGTTAAACACAAAGACCTGTACGTAAATGGTATAGCAGCTCTCTTTATAACAGCCCCAAACCGGAAACTGCCCAGTGTCATTCAGTGAGTTGGATGAATAAACAACAGAATATAACTCGGCAATGAAAAGGAACATATTTTTGATACATGCAATGATTTGTATGAGCCTCAAAGGCAGCATGCTGAATAAAAAAAGCTAACCTCTAAAGGTTAGCCATTGTATGGTTCTTGTATTCTCAAAAAGACAAAGCTATAGGATGCAAAACAAGGGTTGTGGACACAGGGATAGTATAACTACAAAGGGATATCATGAGAGAGATTTTTAGGGTGATGGAAATGTCTGTATTCTATATTCTGAATATAGTGATGATTACATAAATCTATAAAATTAATAAGTGTCTCTATTTAAACAAAAATTAATTTTACTGTATGATGATAAGAAAAAAAAATCTCCAGTAACATTTAGGCTTTTCAAGGCCTGGTGGAATAGAGGAGCCCAGCTTGTTGGTTTGTGGATTTCCTTTGCTGGGTTATTTCCTTCTGCCTACTGGGCTCATGAGTACGGCAGCAAACAACATAAGCAACCTGCAGAAGATTAAAGGAAAAACCCAAACCAGTCAGATTTCACCCTGGCTAGGAGCTCCAGGGCAAGATTTACTGGATAAGAAATCTTGGACTGAAGGAGAAAATGAATGTAAAGTTTTGAGGCTGGTATGGTCATACAACTTAGCAATAGGCAAATTAATTTAGCCAGATTACTTTCATCAAGTTAGCTCTATTTTGTTCCCAAAGAAAATTCCTACTGATTCATCACAAGCGAATTATAAAGGTGCAAAGGACTTCAGTGCCCTACTCCCAGATCTTGCACTCCTTTCAGATGGATTTCTGAGAAAAGACTGTCTTCTGCTTTCTTTTGGCAGTACTCTTTCTCCCAGGCCCTGCAAGCTTCCATTCTCAAAGTTCCTCTACTCATTTATGGACCCATCTGAGAAGGTCAAAGATCTGGACACACCATGGACCACATACCAAACACTGACAGCTCAGAATCCTTCTGGTGGATGGAAACCAGTCCTGTGGGCTTTTTGTGGTGGATGATACACTGATAGGGGCCCTTGTCCTTGATTTGAGCTCTGTGAAGTCGCAGAGTCCAGCTGCTCTGGTCAAAGCTCGTGCGGTGCATGTACTCGGCAGCCACATTATGAAGGTTTTCTCTCCCTAAATACAATTCATAAAGAACTAACTTCTCCCGGTACTGCCAAAATATTACTAGCTCATTCAGGCTGAGATTTTGAGAGTTTGGAAACTGGCATGGCAGCGCTGCAGTCTCATTGAAATAAACTTCACTCTTCAGCAACGCAGCACCTAAAAAGAGGAAAGATGAGGATTAGGGAAGGAAAAACAAGACAGAAGGAAAAGCCCAATTCGATTTAGCTTTATACAATAGCCAGATGCTCAATGTTATCAATAATGATACTGAAGAACTAGGTGATAAGGATCTGGAATTGTGCATCCATCCTGGACATCTGGATTTTTGTTCTTGTTTCACTACTAACTGAATGCACGGCCACTGGGCGCATAGCAACCTTAATCAGCCTCAGTTTCCTCATCCATTTAAAGAAAGGGGAGAACTAAATGCTCTAAGAGTCTTTCTGGTACTATGATTCTGTGAATTTAAGTCTCAGGACAGGGAAAACCAGCAGAGTTAGACAATTCTCTCACCCTCCTGTCACCTCCTTGAAACCTGAGGACTGAGGTTCATCACTGTACCTTCGACAGGCCCTGCAACTACTACCTTCTTCCCCAAAGTCCTGCCTGTCCCATCCTGTCATCTTGGTCTGCTATGGCAAAGGGATTATTAACAGTGGTGATAAGTTTGTCATTCTCTGTCTTCCCTTTTATTATGTTTCATTAGTTAGGGGCCACACTGAGTAACATCTTTGAAATTCAAGTAGTTCCCTTCATAGACTTTCCCCCATAGCTGTTCCCATGGCCAGCTCACCCAAAGACAAAAAACAGTTTGGAATGACTCACTGAACCAAAGTGTCTTTCTTCGGTGGCCTCGCTAAGCAACTTCAGGGACCAGAAAGAGAGAACTGGGAAGGCAAGGATGTGCTTTGGGAGTCTTGGGGAAACCCCAGGCAACACAGACTTGCTGCTGCTATCATGTACTGTCCTGGGAAACATACGACTTGCAGGGAAGATGTTAGGAGAGTTCAGAGGAAGGCTTTGGTCCTTGAAAGGATATTGGCATTTCTGGGAGAGATTTGGGTTACCCTACTTCTTGAATATGATAGATGTCTGGGTTTCAGGAGGGTCTTTTCTGAGTCAGAAAAATACTTGAGACTTAGCAGAGAAATGAGCAATGGGGAACAAGAAGGTGCAGGGTAGGAAGAACACTATTTCTTAATTAATGTGAAGTTAGATGCTGCCTTAGGTAGAAAGTCATAGTAGGTTCTTAATAATGAGTCATTCATTATTCAAGATTTCAGGGGAGGGATGCTAATATTAAAAAGACTAAAGGGAGGGGTGGGTTTGTGAGAGATATGAGAACAGTTTCATTCCAGATGCTTTTCATGGGAGAAGAAAGTCATTTGATCTGATTAGTGATTTTCTCTTTAAATAAGCAATAGATAGAAAAAAATGAGTGACATGTGCCTGGGAAAACTGAACTTGTGCAGACTTCGCAGGGAGCACATGTAATCGAGGGCTTGACAGTGTTTGCTCCAGGCATCACTGAGAGATGCTGGGGCTCTGAATTGCTGCCTGTTTCAGGGCCCTCACTTAGAAGTCTGCAAAGCATGAGGTAAAGGAGGCATGCCATGCTAAGAGAATGGAGAGAAAATCAGCTGAGTGCCTAGAACAGTGGCGAGGGGACCTAAGAAAAACAGTGTATTTGGCAATTACCTTACAAGGCCAATTTGGACCTTGTGCTACAAGGTTGGTTTACCTTGAAATACTGTGCAAGAGTGCCACCTACTGTACAAATTTAGAGTGCTGTCTTTGGGAGAATACATTCTGGTTTGGGCCTAATTTACTACAATAACATAGGGCAGATGACCTAAGGAAGAAACCAAAGACACAGCTGAATTATTAGTCAATGTCACATTATTTCTCAGCTATCAATTATGCTTTCTGGACCTGGAGATGATTTCACCACTTTTTTTTTTTTTTCCTGTCTTCTTGATTTACAGATTTTTCTCTGCAGAGCCTGATGGTACTTTTTCTCCTTCCCGCTTACTCTCTGCTCATAGTCACGTCCAAATTCTCTGGCCCAGGCTCTTTCTCTCAAAAAATCACAAGGGTTTTATCTTTCACCTATCTGTTCTCCTCTTGAACTATCAACAAAAGTATTATTCGTGGACCAAAGCCACTGGCATCATCTAAGGGATGGTCTGGCCCCACCCAAGGCTACCTGAGTCTGAATCTGCATTTTAACAAGTGTTCCAACTTGAGAAGCTGCTGTAGATGATCTCTGTTTCTGTCTCTAGATAGGACAAATTTACTTCCATCCACCTCTCCCCAAACCCCTTTTTATCCCCATGAGGTAAAAACCACACTGTAACCCATCTGAGTGGAACTGAAAGTATTTCACAATTTATACTGTGCATTTCCTCACCAGCCACTGGTTTTCATGTTATCACTCAGAGCTAGGCATGGGGCATCCTGCTAATCCCCTCTTAACCATATGGGGAAGATTTGACTCAGGTCTGTTTTCCCCAAGTGGCTTCAGTCCCCTACTGTTATGATCCCCAGAATTTAGATCTTCTGGCAACTGGATTCACCAGGACACCACTGGTGAAAAACACTGAGAATTTCTCCCTTCTGCAGCACGTTGGTGAGAGAAATAGTTGTAACGAGCTTAAGTGATGGTATCAGGATCTAAGCTCTCAAGAATTCAGCCAGACATCTCCTTTATTAGGAGTTTGTTTCCAGGAATACTTAAGGACCTCTTCTGTAATATACTGTTTGAATATCATGTCCAACCCATGGTCTGCTAAGCTTGTGAGTTTCTGACCCTGTTAGGACTTCAGCCTTCCCTGGTCATTACCCCAAATGGCCATACATTATTTCCTCATGTGACTGTGCCTATTTATACTCATTAATTTTTCTTATTTTACTCAACTTCCTTCAAAGCTTTATTAGACCCTCTGGAAGCCTCATTCCATTGTAATAAAATCCCTTTTATATCTTCACCTTCTTCAGTGGGTATTTTCTGCAGTGTGGTCCTTTCACTAAAATCTGGTCCTACCCAAAGGAATCCAGCCACTTGCTTGCATTATCCACTTCACAGGGACCTTGAGCCACACCTTCCCTATTCGGATGGGTCTTCCTCTCTCTTTGTTGTTAGCTACTAATCATTGGTCACTACCCCCTTGCTCATTGAGGGTTCTGGCCTAAGACGCAGGGTCTTTCTTTCTAACCAAAGTTTACCATAAATTCTGTGAATTCACCACAGGTGAGTCATTTCCAAACATTTTCACCCTCAGACTATTTCAGCGGCCCCTCCCACCATGATACAACCCCAAACCTTATTACTCAGAACAGTTCAACCCTTACAGCCTCCTCTCCATTCACAGCCTTCTCTTCCTCCAGGCCTCGCTCTCACTTTATCACCCTACATCTGTTCTTCTGCTTCACCCACTTAGCTTTACCCACTTCAGACCACCTGCTGCAGTGTTTTCCAAAAGAACTCTTTGAGATGATAGAAATGTTTCTCTGTGCTGAATGGTGTGGTAACCACTAGTCACCAGCCAGCCACTGTAGCTACTGAGCTCGTGAAAGAAACTGACTTTTATGTAATTGCAGTGTAGTCACATAAGGCTAGTAGCTATCAAAGACAACAAAACAATAAAATGTATTTCTAATCATTCCATGCCAGTAACCTCAATAAATGAACCCCTTTGTCCCTGCAGAATTTCTTGTGAGGACACTTTACTTTCAATCTACATATCCTTTGTTTTTTTTTTTTTTTTTTTTTTTTTTTTTTTTGGGGGT